TGACAGCGGCCCAGTGATGTGTAAGGGGATGGGACATGAACTGGCAGACTTTGTTTACAGAGAAGCTAATTTCAAGTCTTGTAATGGTAGCATATTGCAATGCACCTACAACTAAACGATAGAGAGAAGCATCCAAGAAATCTTCAGAGCCTGCTTTTGATAGTTTGCTTCCAGAAATCATGGGAGAAGAAATAGGTTTTGAGCCTTCCATATCAGTATGATTCAATAGGTCTCGGATGTACTTACTTTGAGTAAGAATGAGAGAACCATCAGGCTGAGATTTTACTTCAATGCCAAGAAAGAAATCAAGATCACCGAGATCTTTGAGAGAGAAGATTGAATGGAGTTGAGAGACAAGCGTATGAAGAATTGTGGAATTATTGCCAGTGATTATAATGTCATCAACATACACTAGAATGTAGATGACATTATTGCCATGAGAGTATACAAACAGTGATGGATCACATTTGCTGGCATAAAAGTTTAATCGCAGCAGAGTTGATTTGAGCTTGTCAAACCAAGCACGAGGTGCTTGTTTGAGCCCATAGATGGCTTTGTGAAGTTTGCAGACGAGATTTTTATCAGAAGCTTCAAATCCAGGTGGTTGTGTCATGTAGACTTCTTCTTCAAGTGTTCCATTGAGAAAGGCATTGTTAACATCGAGTTGTTGAATGGGCCAACGATGAGTGAGGGCAAGGGTGAGAATGAGCCTGACAGTGACGGGTTTGATAACAGGGGAGAAAGTTTCATGATAGTCAAAGCCAAATTGTTGATTAAATCCTTTGGCAACAAGGCGTGCCTTGTACTTTTGGACCGTACCATTAGGATTTTCCTTGACACGGAAGACCCACTTGCAGCCTATAGCAGTGCGATGCGGTGGAAGAGGAACAAGAGACCAGGTGTTATTGTGAAGAAGAGCATTGTATTCTGTTTGCATGGCAGCAGACCAGGTAGGATTAGATAAGGCTTGTTTGGTGGTTTTTGGTTCAACCTGAGTTAATAGAAGGGTGGGTTGTAGGCGTGGTTTAACTATACCGTCTTTTGCTCTTGTGGTCATAGGGTGCACATTGTGAGGGTGAATGACAGGAGATGAGGAAGGTTCAAGGTTGGAGGATGTTGGAATGGATAAAGTAGAGGGAGAGGTATCTGGGGCAGCAGTATTAGGGCTGTAGGAATCAGAGGTTAGGCTTGGTGAGGTTGCGGGTGGATTGGGAGAGGTGGGTCTGGTCTCATGGGTGGGTGTGGGAGTCGGATTTATAGTAAGAGGAACCGAAATAGGATGGTGGGAGACACTAGCCTTGGAAGAGGTGAAGAGTTCCTTGTAGGGAAATTTAGTTTCATTAAA